ATATAATTCATATTTATCAATGCCTCATATATTATGTTATGTTTGTGAATATGAATTATGAATCTCACTTTTATCTATACTTGAACTCTTAGTAAACAAAGTCTTTTACTGGCCATCTCCAATGCTTCATTTGAACTTTTGTCTGTTTATAGTATTTATTCTTATCTAATACTACATAAATCTAGTAATTCTATTAGGGGCAGTCAAATGAAAACGAGACACACTATATAACAAGTGTGGCACAGAAGTTGGTAATGCAGGTAGGTGTGTATATAGAAGTACCCTCTATTGGAAATCAGGAAGCAGCGTGAACATTCATCGCTGTACCATTTGTCTGTTAGACGTGCTCGAAGTGAGGTTGGCGAGTCATGTGTGCGTCCAACATCACTAAGGAGGTCCGCTGCTGACTTTGCTTGACTTTCTGGAACACGGCGCAACAATTAACGCACTGCGGTACATAGAAACTTTGCAAAAATTGAAGCGTGCCATCAAATCTAAACACCCAGGAATGTTGACAAACAGCATCATTCTATTGCAAGATAATGCCCATATACATGTTACCAAGGTTGTTTTGACTACGCTGCAGAAGTTTCGCTGGGAACTTCTGCAGCGTAGTCCATACACATCCTCAATACAGTCCCGATTTCTCCCCATGCGATTTCCATATTTTTGGAGCCCCGAAGAAAGACATTCGTAGTCGTCAATTTGCTTCGGACAAAAAGGTGCACACCTGGGTACAATCATGGTTCCGTAGGCAACTGCAAACATTTTTCTATGAAGACATTGACCGTCTTGTCTCACAGTGGGATAAATGTATTAACAATTATGGCAATTACTTTTGAAATAATAAACAGTTTACTTACTTTTTTTCCATTTGTCTCGTTTTCATTTGACTGCCCATAATAGTAATACTAGATAAGTCTATTCCTAAGTATGCTTTCTTTATAATTTTCAAATTTTATAATCAAGTGCCGTAAATATTTTTAACTGCTGTACTTGTGTATTTTTGAATATAAAAAGATATATTTTTTTGTCTTTCTGACATTAAAATGAAACTTAGGATTGATTGTAATTATTATTAATAGTGTCTTTGAGGGCAGTGTCATTCCAGATGTTATGTTCACATGTATAGATACAGCTTAAAAATGTTTAGTTTCATCATCATAAAAGTTTAAAGTAAAAATGAGTAAATACATTTTTCATTTTAATTAAAAAAATGCCAAAAATTTCTTATTATGTTATTCTTAAGTCTTGCGACGTTATTATATAATTTTATTACTTAAATGTTACTAGGACAGATCGTATAAAGGTCGAACATGATTCCACTGACGTTCCAATCCTCATTGACAAACTTCTAGGCTACGGGATGGCGGCGCTCAACGACCGACGTTCACGTTTCCACTTTGAAAACGTCGGGCGCAACCTCGTATAAAGATTTTTCCTTTTTTCTGGATACGTTACCTCATTTTGCAGGACTTGGACACAAGTAATTAATAGCATTGTAATTGTAGAGATCCCCAAGCCCATTAACCTCAACCTGGTTTGGATGCCATTCTAAGATCGTTGTTCTGACATCCTCTTACTTCTTTAAAAGATCTTTAATAGCAGATATTGGCATTAATCTTTTTTCAGAAGAAAACATATCTCGCCGAGTTTCTTGGTGTTCTTCTTTTCAAAAGTTATTGGCGTTCTTCCGTTGTCAGATCCGTTTCAGGTTCCATTTTGAGCTCTTCAACGTTCTCTATTTCTCAGATGTGAATTTTGTTACTCTTTTAGCTGCTTGAGTCTTCTTGATTATACAGTATTTTTCTTAGATAAGATTGAACTGTGGTCTACTGTAGATCTGTTCCAGCCATACTGCCCAGCAACATCAGACATCTGCCTGCTCTACATTTTGCTATTATACTCTCACCTTTCGAAAATGAAAACTGATGCAAAACTTAACGAATGCGCTCCCGACAGTCTCGCGAATACCATAAAATAATTTTTCTGTCAGAAAAATAAATGACTGGAATTACAAGGGAAAGTTTCAAAGTTCGGAAGAATACTATTTGATCAGTATATACGGGTTGAACGTCGATGTCGAGTTCCGAATTGTTGCCTGAAGACAAGGAAAGACCAATCGGTATTCATTATTTTATGTCGCTACTTGTGTTTGTTGTGAGGTGTTCGTTGTCCAAACATAAAAATCTTTCGCGAAAGTGTTCGTTATCCGATTTGTTCGTTAACCAATCACCCATTGTATTAGGTATTAAACAATCTTACATATTTTTCCAGGATTTCAGTTGGTGTAAATGATTTTATAAATATGTAAACCGGGGGTGTCCAACCTTTTTGTTTCTTTGGGCCACATTGAAAGAAGTCATGGAGTTTTGGGCCACAAGTATATATAATATACTTGTGGCCCAATCCTTAAATATACATGTATATTTAAGGATTAACATGTCTTGATTATAATAATAAGTATTAAAACTTTATCACAAAAAAAAATTTAAAAAAATTACTTTTACAGACTTTGAATTTTTACTTAGAAATACATAAATTCATTTATTATAAAGGAGACAAAGAAAAATTTATTTGAAAAACACAAATATTTATTTTATTTTGGTCTCTAATTAATAAAAAACGACAAAACGCCATTTTAAAGTGCATTTTTATTCGACTAATATATTTATAAATAATATGTAGCCCAGAAAGTAGCCAATGCGCCAAATGATATTTTTTACGTCGAACTAAAAAAATGGGTAGCCAAATTTGGTGCAAAGTAGCCAAATCTTGTAACACTGGAAGAAATGCTAAATAAACAAAACCGACATATTTATTTATTATTTATTTCAACGGCATAAACTGAAAAAAGAAGTTTCAGAAAGCCGTAAACCTCTATAGGCCTACATATTTTATTTTTTAGAGGAAAGGAGATATAGTATTTTCAAATACTTGGAAATGTGTTAATGAAGAAAAAATACTAAATAAAGCTGGAGTTGTGACTCAAAGGATTATAGATCCAAATTCGAGAAAAGAAGAGAAAGGCCAAAAGATAAAAAGTATTCAGAAAGGTTAAATAGACTTTCTGTTATGCAAATATTAACCCTTAATTTTCCAACCTTCCTTACTACTTTCGGTTCGAAACGGTTCTTAGTTTTAAGTAGCCAGAAAAATAGTGATGTAATATACTGTACTTGCTGTCTGAAAATATAAATAATTCGTTACTAGCTTTTAGTAAAATTTCTTAAAAGCTCCGAATATCAAGTTGGTGTTTAGATTAACACTTTATTGAAACTAATTAACATTTAGATATCAAGTTTTGCATATCATAAATTCATAGTGCAAGAGCTTAGCTATTTAATTTATCATTTTCTGTATTTTAATTATCGCATACATTTTCAATTTAGAATCACTAATTTTCATTAAAGGCACTATAGAATTTCCAGAGATTATGATTTCATGTAACTAGCATTTGTAACCTGAATATCATTGCATTTAGCTTTATAAAACGTGAATAAAGACGAAACATTAGCTCTAATTCATGTTTCTTTACAGAGGAAACATGAATTAAAATGACTTCATGAAGGAATATGTTTGAGCTGTTTCATTACTCCTTGCTGGACAAGTGCAAATTATTGATAGTAAAATCAAAAATATTTTAATTATACGAATGTGAATTCTGTTTTGCTAGGATATTGTATATCCCATTGAATTTTAACAGAAGTTTACGTCACCTGGATCATCTGACTGTAGATAATTCTTTTCATATATGAAAAGTGAAAAGTATTAATCCAGTTAATTCTTTTCTGCGTTTAATTATTGTTGAAAAATATTTAAGAGGATCTTAAAATTATGTAAATAGATGTGTATCACGTACAGCTAAAGGTAGAGAAAGAATAACCNCGAAAGATTTTTATGTTCGGACAACGAACACATGATCGGATAACGAACATCCCACAGAACAAACACAAGAAGAAGCGACGTAAAATAATGAATACCGATTGGTCTTTCCTTGTCTTCGGGCAACAATTCGAAACTTTTCGGAGTGTTGGAGACGTCGACATCGACGCTCAAGCCGGTATATATCAATCGGATATTATTCCTCCGAACTTTGAAACTCTCCCTTGTAATTCCAACCTTTTATTTTTCTGACAAAACAATTTTTTTATGTATTCGCGGGACTGTCAGGTAGGCACTCGTTAAGTTTTGTGTCTGTTTTTCTTTTCGAAAGGTGAAAGTATAATAGCAAAGGTAGAGAGTGGGCAGAAGATGCCTAATGTTGCTGGGCAGTATGGCGTGAACAGGTCTACAGTAGGCCGCGGTTCAATCTTATTTAAGAAACATACTGTATAATCAAGAAGACTCAAGCAGCTAAAGAAGTAACAAAAATCACATCTGAGAAATAAAGAACATAGAAGAGTTCATAATGGAACACGAAATGGATCTGACGACAGAAGAACGCCAAGAACTCTTGAATGAAGAACACCAGAAACTCGGCAAGATACGTTTTCTTCTGAAAAAGAGGATTAATGTCGATATCTGTTATTTAAGATCCTTTGAAGAAGTGGGAGGATGTCAGAACAATGATCTTAGAATGGCATCAAAACCAGGTTAAGGCTTGGGGATTTCTACAATTGCAATGCTATTAATTACTTACGAAAAACCCTGAAGAAGAGAGAAAAGCAATCGACATTAGACAGATTCTTTAACCCCTTCAAACGGAAAAAACATGACTAATAAAAACGCAAGACTGTGTATGTATGTATTTTTATTATTATCAATACATATAAANGTTGGAAAATATTTAAGACGATCTTAAAATTATGTAAATAGATGTGTATCACGTACAGCTAAAGGTAGAGAAAGAATAACCTTAAATATTAAATAAAAGTCAGTCAGTAAATTTTTAAAAAGACAATATGAAGTTGAAGAGCATGAAAATTATGAATATGCTCTTGAGCTCGAGCGTAATGATCAAAGCACGTGCTGTTCTGAGCATAACGTATGAACATTTTTTATTGTTGCATTAACAATAATTGTTAATAATATAATTTTGACCATTGTCAAAGAGTATTGTAGTATTTTCGAAGCGATTTATTATTCGAAAGCGATTTCTTTAATAAAAGATGAATTTTTTAAGTAAGTTCAATCAATTAGTTTATTATATATACAAATATAAGAATTATTTATCGATATGTTAATGATGCACTGTATATTAAAAAGTTTCATTAATCGTAATTTTGTAACGAAAGGTTTTAAATAATCAATGACAATATTATATAACACATTATATGAATTGCAACTACATATTCTCCTGATTTCTTTCAATTAAAAAGGGTAAACAATTTCTTGCGGGTATTTACAATTAATTCTCAAAAATTAGCGTAGAAATTTAGTTCGATTATCTTCAAGATAAAGTTTTTAATTGCAACGAATAAGAAAGTATACGCATAGACTACAGTATATATAAAAAGAAGAATAAATCAATATTTCTGAATGTCATTAAGTTAAAGCAGATTTAAATAAAGCAGATTATTTCTCAATGTAATCTTACATATGAATATTGCTTTCCATCTAAGACGTATAAGCACACGTTACTTCAATTTTTGTTTTTAAAGATTTTGTAAAATAAATTGACAAATGTTTGTTATTTTATATTTTGTTGATACATTAAAATAAATTAGTATTTGTGATTCTGTTTAAAATAATAATTATGGGATAATTATTTCTAGGTGATCAACAATTGTTTGATGGAAGTTATTTTCCTTATAGAAATAACTTTGAGGTAAGTTTATCAGAAAATTTTGATGTATGTTTTAGTTAAAATAAAGCAAATAATATTCAGATAGCATAGAAATCAAATACCAACATAAATATGTAAGGACGTTTTGAACTTTCTTTATATTTAAATATGATTTGAAAGCTGGTACTTTTCTTTAAACATTCAGACATTTTGTAAACTTAACATCATACAAATTTAACTGCCATTCAGTTTTCCTACAAATATTTTAAAGGACGTATGAGCAGATTGTATTTCTCCTATCTCCTTAACATTCAATTCTCAGTTTCTGGCTTTTAGATCTCGAAGATTGCAATATGAAATGGAATATCAATATTTAATATGAAATGAAATTTCTTTTTCATTTAGCCTAAAATATTTAGGCCTTTATTTTTATTTTTCAGGAATATTTAATACTCAATCTAGTAAATTGTTGAAATTACATTTTAAAAAATTTAATAAATAATTCATTTATATTATTTGACGCCTTTTTAAAATCAAAATTAACATATTTGATCACTGTTTGAAGTCTTGATCTTCTGGTATAACTTGAAAAAATACAGTTAAGGTATTTTAAACGCCTATATAAATTAGAACGATCGACCCCTGAACCGATTTTAAGGCTTGAATTGGGAAATTAAAATTACACTAAATATTTTAATATTCTGGTCTAAAACAACAGCTTTACCTTCTGAAGATCGTTGTAGTGTTTACAATTTATAATTAAAGGCTCAAAAATTTGTTTAGAAAAACAGGGATATCTCTTTTCATAAAATATATCAATCACCTCACAACTGAGAACTTATTAAAATGAGATAATGCAAGTTAAATCGTATCAGTTATTGAACTGNCTCAATCTAGTAAATTGTTGAAATTACATTTTAAAAAATTTAATAAAAAATTCATTTATATTATTTGACGCCTTTTTAAAATCAAAATTAACATATTTGATCACTGTTTGAAGTCTTGATCTTCTGGTATAACTTGAAAAAATACAGTTAAGGTATTTTAAACGCCTATATAAATTAGAACAATCGACTCCTGAACCGATTTTAAGGCCTGAATTGGGTAATTAATATTACACTAAATATTTTAATATTATGGTCTAAAACAACAGCTTTACCTTCTGAAGATCTTCGTGTTAGTGTTTACAATTCATTGTTAAAGACTCAAAAATTTGCTTAAAAAACAGGGATATCTCTTTTCATAAAATATATCAATCATCTCACAACTGAAAACTTATTAAAATGAGATAATGCAAATTAAATCGTACCAGTTATTGAACTGCGACCCGTCTTAAATGTTAAAGTATCAAACAACCGTTTATAATAAAACATTTGGGTGGGAAAATCAGACAATACCTAAATTATGATTTGAGTTATTCTGTTAAAAGCTTGATTATGCAGCTATGTTTGAATAAATTCCGAATGGTAATAAGGGGCCATCGCTCGTATAATTGTAATAATGGAAGATATCTTATTGCAAAAGTACTGTTGAGTGTGTATCGAGTCATATTTTTGTTTCATGTGTCGTGTTATCCCAGTTAAAAGTAGCATTCTAGATGAAATATTTAATGTGGTTTACATTAATAATTTGTATTATAAGTATATATTACACATTATTTTAATAAATATAGAAAGAATTTCTAGTATTGATATTTTAATGAATTATATAGAACACAAAATATTTTAATATTGATTTTCAAAATTTGTTTCTCAGTAATGTAACTTACCTGCTAGTTTTTAATGTGCTGTACGTTTTAAGCAATGTACTATAAATAAATTAAATAGGTGTACTTAGTTTTACAATGATTACAGAAATAAAAACAAACTGTTATTAGACATTATTGTAATTTTAAATTGGGTGTAATATCTGAAATTGATTTTATTAATGTATTGTATGGTTAATATTTCAGTATGTAGCGCAACTGAACCAATATGGACCAGGAACAGAATTTCCTGGGTATTGGCCAGTTATAGAAGTGAGAGAAAATGGGCTGCCAACAGAGTCGCCTGGATATGATCCAAGAATAAATGTTACAGAATATGGGTCTCCTACACAGTGGTATGGATATGGTCCAAGAACGGATGTAATAGAATATGGACCATCAGAACAGTTTTATGCATATGATCCTCCAAGAATGCATGTAACAGAATATGGACCGCTAGCACAGTGGTACAGACATGGCCCAAGAATAAATGTCCCAGAATATGGGCCTTCAGGACAGTGGTATGGATATGATTCAGGAATGGATGTCTCAGAATATGAGCCTCCAGCACAGTTATATGAATGTGGACCAGTTATGGAAGTCCGTCAAAATGAACTGTCCGTACAACCCCCTGGATATGATTCAGCTCCAGATAATCTTGAATATGGACTACCGGTGGAGCTTCGTGCATATAGGCAATTTCCAGAAGTGCCAGGCTATGGACCAATTTCAGAATTACATACACATGGGTCCGAATTAGAAGTAGTTGGATGTGGAATGTGTACAGAAATTCCCGGACACGGGCCAGTGCCAGAAATGATTGAATCTAGAACGATGACAAAAGTCTCTGCATATGAACTATCGTCAGAACTGTCAGGAGAGAGGCCAGCAGAAGTAATACCTAAACCTGAAGCACGACAGGAAGAATTAGAATATCTGCCAGAATCAGGAATGCTCAAACACGAGCCTTCAGGTAAAAGAATATTACAAACAGACGTCCCTCTGTCATCAGATACTCCTGCATCTTTATCAATTCCAGGTAATCAATATATTAATGGTAAATCTTGTTTATTTGGCAAANGACCCGACATGTTGTTATCCGTTATTCAAACAGGAGCGTAGCACGGGTCCACAGGACACGAATTTGTATTACAGATGGCGCGCGAGTTGGATTAAATATAATCTATACTTTATTTCGATATCGTTTTGTTTATTATACAAATTAAATATACTGTATCGGTCTTTATTTCGATTTAATTCAAAAATTTTTTCAAAAAATTTCGATTTAATTCAAAAAAATTTTTTTTAATATTAAATTTATATACTAATTAATTTCTGTACTCCAGTTTGTATCATTTCTATACTACTTATAGCATATTATTAAAAATATTAACATATTATTAAGAAATATGTAAATAACAAATTTGAATACAAGAATTTCTGTTGATGCATGTTGGAATAGCTTTGTCAACTGTGAAAAAAATGTTTATTGTAAGTTTTCTCCTTTATCCAAATGCATTTTCCCCAGTATTATCAGGCCTCATCAATGGATAATGATACTAGGTTACATCAGTGTTTTAAATTGTTAACTGTCTATATCGTAAATCCTCAAAGTTGGTGCTGATAGAGTGCTTTTTGCTCAGACTATTTTCTTAATTTTTCATTTTTAGAATTACAGTTATACAATTAATTTTATGATTTTTATTCACTATTTCTTCTATTTATTCTAAGTATTTATTATGTTTGTAGATTAATAAATACTTAGAATAAATGAAGATGAAACAATTTTATCTACTATATTTACTTGTTCAATATTACCTTTTTTTTCAAATTGCAATTATACTTGATTATGCATTTTCATACTGTTGATTTTCATGATTTTTGAATAATGCCAGCATAAGTCATCAATTAATATAGGGCACCTGGAGTCCACCAAGTCATCATGTGTTATGTATTTTATGCAAACCAGCATCCCTAGTACTGATTACATTAGCAATGTGTAAATGAAACTAATCAGCAGGCAAAATAACTTTATTTTAGTATTTTAAAAAGCATTCTGGATTACTTGGCATTGATCCTTCCAAAGACAAATAATTTTATGGCTGTATTTTTACTGAAATTTAAAATCTAGTTGTGTAAATTGCATTAAAATAACAGCTACATTTACTCAGCTATATTATTCAGGAAACAAAGCTACTTTTGTGTAAACTTGTTTAAATATGTATAGAAATTGGCATAATTTTATATAAATATCAAATAGCTAAATGCTTATTATATTAATTATTAAAAGAAATTTGTATTCAAGCTTTATTGAAATAGATATATGGATAAAGCTGGATAAAATACTGTTAAATTCATATTTACATTATAAAAATAAAATTTACATTAAACTATGATATTGATCGTATAAATATGTTTTATTACAATAAGTATAAAAATATAAACTATGTTTGTATACAAACTTAATAAATAAATACATATTTTCTAATAAAAGTTTCTTTTTATGTATAAAAAATATACTTTATGTAAAATGTTAAAGTGATTGTAGATTCTTCATCTGTTGTTGTAAATTTAAAATTTTAGCTTTGTATTCAGCCAATTGTTGTTCACTCTGAAATAATGAAGACACAAATCAATATTTTACATAAAACAATTTATTAAGACTCCAGAAACCTAGCTATGTCCAATAATGTCATTGGATTTATTTTAAACACATATTTAAAGACCAAATATTTTATAGAAATGTTATAAATAAGAAACCACATTTAAAAAAATTATATAAAAACATCCTTTCCTTTACATTTATTTAACACCACTAGCAAATTATGAATGCATTCAGAACAAGGCTTCACTTACCAGTGGATTTCTGAGTCTTGACTAAATAATTACCTAATTTACATTAAAAATTATTGAGATTTTAAGTACTTTCACAACATTAAGATGTTGTGAACAGCACAAAAAGTTTTATTAATAACAAATGTTTTTGAATCTTTCAAAGATAATCTATTTTAAAATAGAAAAAATTAACTGCAGAGTGAAATATCTAATTCATCATTCATATATATTTTCTTATCATTGTAATAAATTATATATTGTTTAATGTTATTGAATATATATTAGTTTTGTAATAAAAAATTTTCTTTTTTTAACATAATGACCATTAGAATCAAATATTTTCTTTATTTTAATATTCTATTTTATATAAAATTAATATACAGTATATGGAAAAAAAGAATAGTGAGGTTGCGGCTGAAGTTTTCAATGCAAAAACATGAATGTTGGATGTTCAGCGCTGCCATTCTGTAAGTTTAGAAGTNAAAAAAATCTTTTGTTTTTTATAATTGTCACTGTGAAAGCAGTTTAATTTACATTATATACATTATGAATTTATTAAACATTGAATAATTACTCCTTGGCAAGAGTATTTACATTATTTCAACAACCAAATTGAATAGTTACAAGAAGAAATATTATCTTTTCGTTTAGATTGTAATTCATTATTTTGTCAAATACTTATTTTCGTATATAATGTATAATTTCATTTGATATGATGATGATAGTTAAAGTGTACACTATTGATCGTCTATTATAGAATTTTTACACATTTACTATAGATTTAACAGACAGCCATCAAAACAAATGTTGAAAAATATTATGTGTTCTATATACTATATTTACGCTATATTCTCTGAATAAAAGTGCGAAGTTGCAGTTAACACATAAATATACAATAAACGCTTGTAGGGTTTTGACCCTACAAGCGTTTATTGTATATTTATGTGTTTTGTAGAGTTTTGACCCAACAGTAATATTCGAATTCTTCAGTCATAAACTTTGCCATTGTCTCAGAAAAACGCTTTCCATGTCTGGCATTGACGTCAATCATTTGGACAGAAGTTATTGTTATAGTTCCGGGAATTATTTGATTAGATATTTGTCCAATATTTTCGAAATAAAATTCATTTTTAAATGTGTTTGTGCACAAAAAAATTAAATTACTTTAATTTTCCGTGTAATGAGTAGCTATAACTTAGCAAATTTTGGAAAATTAATAGTATACAAATTGACTTTCAAACATTCTCGTGGATTATATGCTGAAAATTAAGAGTAGCTTTTTATATTTGTGTTTAAATTATTATATTTTTTATTACTCTGATTCTTTCAGTNGATTTCAATGAAGATACAAATATTTTACAACGTAACGAAGTGAAAATAGATACAAAGATAATCGTTGAGAGTACAACCACTCATATATCTGCTGATTCAGATTACAGAGAATTAAATTCAGTTGTAAGTGTAAATATAATTAAATTCATGGAAACTAATTAAAGGATAAAAGCAAATTTCGAAATTGAATTTTACAGAAGGAGCAGGATTTTGTATTGCCTCCAGAACAAATAACAGCACCGGTTCTTGAAGATTATGTTGATAGGCCTTTGAAAAGGGCATTCATATATTTAGAAAATTTTTCTTTAGTAAAAGAAATAATTTATGAGGAAGATGAATGTGACATCGAGAATGATTTATTGGAAAATGATGCTGACGCCGTATTTTGTGAAAATGCATTTTCTAATAATGACGTAAATGCAATCGAAGAAATTGATGAACTTAATGGCGACGTCAATTTATCAACATCAACACCAAATACGATTGATAATAGAAATGAAAAATACGATTGTATCAATGATATCTCTGAAACATTACCATTCCAGCAAATAGCAACAAGTGATAAGGATGATGATGAATTAGAAAAATCAATTAGAGTCAGAGAATTTGAAAAAGGTAAGATTACAAATAGATGACATCTTACGTTATTTTATTTCTATCGCTCAACGTTGTTTAAATTATGTGAAAATTGTTACGTTTAAAATTGTTAACAAATTGCTATTATATGTAAAACACATTGTTAATAATTCTAACATATTTTTCTAAATTATAAAGCTTAACATTTATATTTTTACATTTACTTTTTATGCATTTGTTTAATATTATTACCATAAATATTCGAAATAAAAAAAAGTCTCAGGATTTTACTATGACAGGGATAACATCTATTCAATACAAAAAAATCTTTTGTTTTTTTATAATTGTCACTGTGAAAGCAGTTTAATTTACATTATATACATTATGAATTTAATAAACATTGAATAATTACTCCTTGGCAAGAGTATTTACATTATTTCAACAACCAAATTGAATAGTTACAAGAAGAAATATTATCTTTTCGTTTAGATTGTAATTCATTATTTTGTCAAATACTTATTTTTGTATATAATGTATAATTTCATTTGATATGATGATAATAAAGTGCACACTATTGATCGTCTATTATAAAATTTTTACACATTTACTGTAGATTTAACAGACAGCCATCAAAACAAACGTTGAAAAATATTATGTGTTCTATATACTGTATTTACGCTATATTCTCTGAATAAAAGCGCGAAGTTGCAGTTAACACATAAATATACAATAAACGCTTGTTGGTTTTGACATCAACAGTAATATTCGAATTCTTCAGTCATAAACTTTGCCATTGTCTCAGAAAAACGATTTCCATGTCTGGCATTGACGTCACTCGTTTGGACAGAAGTTATTGTTATAGTTCCGGGAATTATTTAATTAGATACTTGTCCAATATTTTTCGAAATAAAATTCATTTTTAAATGTGTTTGTGCACAAAAAAATTAAATTACTTTAATTTTCTGTGTAATGAGTAGCTATAACTTAGCAAATTTTGTAAAATTAATAGTATACAAATTGACTTTCAAACATTCTCGTGGATTATATGCTGAAAATTAAGAGNAAAGTATACACCGAGTTTACAAAAAGAAATTGTATAAGTATACGAGAGTCGTAGTAAGGGTCTAGATTAGCTGTAGTTTAACCACCGTGGATCTACAGCAACACCATCCATTGTTCGAAACCTACGATTTTCTAATAAAAATAAATCATGGCAGCGCCCACAACAATAGAAAATAGTAATATATTTCGCAATGAGTGTTTAAATTCCGGTAAACGTCCGCGCGCCCATGCCAT